TTATACGAGGGTTGGGGGGCGTAAAGGGATGCCGTCGGGGGGTGCACTTGCAGCGCCAGCCAGGTGACACTCTGCATTGGGCGGTGGCAGTGGTGAGCAGGCGCAGCAAGCGGCAAGGTGTAGTTCCTGACTCACACATTGCACTTCCCATCTGGTGCTGCAGCAAAATCACATCCCCATGTTCCAGCTGGCGGTATCCAATGGCTACTTCCTCCCATACACCACGGAGGCCCTGGGTGGGAAGCTGGCGTTGCGCGAGGTGCGAGTCGGTGGGAGAGGGTGAGGGATGCTCCACCACTCGGGTGATGCATGGGTTCAGGCTCCCTCTACAGCGCTGGCATGCGAAGGATGAGGCTGGCCCCTTCCCCTCGCGGTCCCTGGATCCTGCCCCGCCATGCTCGCAGGGGCAGTCCCCTGGCCCAGAGCGCAAATCCCCCCCCAACCCTGCATGCACCCCCTCACAGAGGATGTTCCTGCGCGCCACCAAGAGCGTGCCCACCCTCCTGTCGGTCTACGTGACCTGCGTGTACATGGCGCTCAAGGTGTCAGATCGCGTGCAGCACACCGGCATGCTCTCCGCCATGCTCACCGACATGCTGGGGCGGCGCGTGCACTCCTGGCAGGTGGGCTAAGGATGGAGGGGGGGTTCTGCGGCGCGGAACGGCGCCGCAGGCTTTGCTGCTCGCCGCTGCGCATGATGCTGGTGTCGTGGACTGGGGGGCTTGGCAGGGGGCTCGGCACCTCAGCACCCCCGTCCTACCTTCCCCCCATGTGCCCCCGCCACTCCGCTCACCCCCGGACCCCCTTCAGCCCTCAAGTCTCACCATACCCCCCCCCCCCCCCCCCGGAAACCCCTTGCCACAGGCCGTCCAGCTGGAGGTGGAATGCCTGGTCGGCCTCGCCTGGAGGCTGGGCCCTTACTTTTCTACCACCACCGCCCGTATTTAGGGCTGTGACAAACGGCGCCTCGCGGGGGGTTATGGCTCCCCCTTGCACCCACCCCGATGAAGGAATACTCTAGAACGAAACCACAGCTTTCTTCCCTTCAAGCCCCTGCCTCTGTGTACACCATCAACAGCTCGACCCAGCCTGCTCTCTCTTTTGCGCTGGACTGTGCGCTCACCTGGGGGTCCTTTTCTCTTTCAGAGCAGGAAAGTGCTCCCTCATGAACCATAATGTCCGGCAGAAATGCACGGACGCCCTACAGACCTCTTCCAAGACTTTTTTCCCCTGTTGGCTTACCCCCCATCCCAGCTTTGCCACCCCTTTCGCCAGGTACTCTGCCTCACCGATGTCTCACACCTCGGTTGGTCGTCCCTTTGCCAAGCTGCTGACTCAGGCTCCTATACTGTTTACTTTTTGTTTGCAGAACTTCTTTCAGGAATGCCAGGGTTTTGGGCAGGTTGCGCCCCCTCAGAACTGCGACCGTCCATTGGAAAATCCAGCTGGCACAGCCAGAGCTTCACCAACACTCGTGCTGCACCATCTTTCAGGTCACCTGCAATGCCATTCATCCTATTAAAACATGCATGTGCTCAGCTTTTAGTGAATTTCATTTGTTCCAGGCCCGTGTAATATAATAAATCTGAATGGACCACACAGAACTCCCACCCAGCATGCACAGCATGTCAAGATTCCAAATCACCGGGCGCAGTCCACATCGCCGGTGACGGGGCGGGGAACGCTGTTCATGTGCCACACTGGCCCCTCATGTAGACTATCATGTGCGTACGAGGGCATGGAGGATCAATAGCGTTACGCGCTCAGACACAGGATGCTGAGTCCGGTGCGCCCCGCTCCGCGACGACCAGCATGGTTTGTGGAAGATGACATGGCATCGGGGCGTCCGGCCTCGGCATCAACAAGGTGAGAAGCCCGGAAGTCATGCGTTGCAGATAGTATGGCCAGAACTGCGTCAAATGAGCCACCAAATGGTGTCCCATAATCCCACCGCAGACCCCAAGCACGGCCAGCCAACACACAGTCTCTGTTCGTGGTCGAGACCCCAAAGCTTGGAGTACCAGGCCCTTCCACGGGCATAACGGTCCAACACGACAGCAGAAAGCCAACAACCCCCGCACTTCCCCGTCAGCCTACTGCGTTCGACCTGAGGGTGCTGGCTGCCAGAGACCGGCTGGCTGACTCGGTATGCTCCCTGTGCGGGATGGAAGGCGCATGGCGTCTGACTGTTAGGTTATACCACGATTGTTACGATTCTGGGCTGCCGTCTCCTATTCCTTCTGCCAAGCACCATGCATTCAGGTTTCTCGTTTCCAACCCTGAACCCTACTCCAGGCTGATGCATCGGTCATTTCCCGGAATCTGCTGACAGGGCGCCCTGGTGTTCCTGTTGCAGCGCATGTCCTGTGCACAGAGACTCAGCAGCCTAAGGCCGATGCCCAAGCAAAAGTTGTTGGGGCAGTCCAACCCATCAGGCAGAGGCATGGTGCATCCTCGTCTGCAGAGCAGACGCTATCAATGGCTCCCACAAGTACTAGCTTATTCCAAGCACCTTCGGAGGTGACTGAGGAGAGGCTACGTCAGCTAGTGAGGTGAGTTCCTGCTCTTTCTCAACTTCATCTCATGAGGATCAGATCGGCGTTTGGACGCCAGGCCTCAGTCAATCTGTCTTGTGCTTCCTCTTCACCAAACCAGCGTCACACAATTAAGGCACGTCCACACTTGCCCCTGTTATTCCAGGGAAGAGTGCACTGCTGCTGTGCAGGCGGTGCTTGCCGACGTGCGTGAGGAGTATGAACAACAACTCTCTGCATTGAGGGCCGATGTCTCTCGACTCGGTGCCATCGTGAGGAAGAGCAGGGTAGCTTCAGCAAGCACTGCCCCAGCTCCGCACTCGAGGCTGCAGCTTCATAGTCGACTTGGGGAGCCAGAGAGGACTAACACGAGCCCACTAAGACTGGCATCCGGTGATAGTGCTCAAGCCTCTGCTGCTGTGCCTGGTACTCCCATCACCAGCCTGGGCTTTGGTAGTCCCATTCGCCCCTTGGTGAGCCGCACATGAGAACATCATGAATAATACATATATTCAATGGACGGGGAGCTGACCATCATAGGCCTGTGTAATCTTGACGTGTGCTGTGGCTCTGATATTTCGAATCGACTCTGTGTCTTGTAAGTTAAGAAATGTCCTGCCGGGCACCAACAGAGAGCGCGCTTGCGCTTCGTCGTCGTCATCGAATGCATTTTCTCATGAGCATTCAGACCACCAGTGAACGCCAGACATCGCCCTGCTCGCCTAATGGCGGCCACCACCGACTCTCTTCCGGCAGTCCGACAGGGCAAGCGCAAGCTTCTGCTGCCGCCCGCGCAGCGACGACAGCACTCTGGAGCTGCCCCCAGTTCCGTTGACCCCGTGGAAGCTGCATGCAGAAGTGGCGAGGCCGTCGCGTCTCCAGTGTCTAACCCCCCCTCCGCTCCAGGAGGAGATGTCTGGGGCGACGACGACTCCGACCTGGGGGCCATCCTCACAGACACGCAGGCAGCACTGCACATACTTGCCAGCCAGTTCATACGGCAGCACGACGTGAGGCTGGAGTGGAGAAGGGTTCCTACTTAGTGTGCACTGCGGCTGGAAGATCTTCTGCCCAGCCCGCCTCCTCTGCTGGCCAGCAGGCTGGTCCCCCTTTTGAAGATCGACCATCCCTTTGCCACAGAGCCATGCCCCTCCCTTCTCCATGGTGACACAACTGTACACCCTGCTCCCGGACCGGACGAAGACGGACAAGGAGCTGGATGCGCTGAGGTGAGAGTGGGCGCATTCTGAGGCAAACCCCTCTTTGCATTCGTGGTGTGACTGGCTCGGTGGTGGATGGCAGTAGAGTTGCGTTGTGAGGGCAGGGCTGGGGAGGGGGGGAAGGGGGTGTTGGGAGACAGTCCTTTCCCCTCCTTCGTCGCTGGGCCGGCTAGCACATGACCCCGGTCACCGCCCCGCACGCCGCCAGGCTCGGCAACCAGGTCAGGCTGCTGCAGCTGCCCCACGGCGGCGTTGCCGCCGTGCCCACGGATGCCTACTCCGTCTCGCTCCGATCCCTGGCGCGGCCGGCGCCCGCCGCCACCCGCGAGGCCGGCCGCAACGCCACCCGCGAGGCCGGCCGCAACGCCACCCGCGACGGCCCCGCGACGGCCGAGCGCTTCCTCTCCCTGGTGCTGCCGCGCCACACCGGCTTCGGCCTCACGCGCACCGAGCTGGCCGAGGCGCTGGGCCCCCGCCACGCCGCCGCCGATCTGGAGGCCCTGCTGGACTGGGGTGCGCTCACCCGCCACCCCACCGCCCAGACCGCCTCCTACATATTTGGCCTGCCGGATGCGGGGCGGTGCCTGCGCAGCGTGCTGGAGGGCCGCCTGGTGAGTCAGCGTGTATTTTTGGGTGGGGATGATGGGATGACAATGCCCCAGAGCCCTGCAGTGGGGCCACCGGACCATGGAAGGCCTGCCACCCCCAGAATCACCCCTCGAGCTGGAGCGAGTCCGCTCCCACCGGCGCAGGAGCTGCTGACCATGCTGCAGCGGCGGTGGCACGGCGAGACACTGGAGGCGGAGCTGCTGAGGAAAGGGCGGCTGCGGCGCAGCACGCTGGGCGTGCTGTGGCATCTGCGTGATGTGCTGGGGGCGGGGCTGGTGGTCAGGCGCGAGACGGCGGTGGGGCCCATGCTGCGCCTCGCGACTCGGACGTAAGGGAGGCCTGGGTGTCTGAAGGTGACCTCCTGTTTGTGCATGAATCTTGCGCGCGATCCAGCACATCTATGTTTTTCTCCCTGTGCGCGGATGTATGCATGCCATCCACGCCCGCGACCATGACCCGGCGGCACGAAAAATGCCTCGTCATTCAGCAGTGAAGTACTTTCATGTCAACCCAAGACTACCAGGCATGCTGTGTCTTCACATGAGTGCCCCAGGCAATGAGCACGGCGCATAAGGGCATGCAGGACCAGCAAGGGGGGCCCCTCAGCTGCCCTGGCCGAAGAAGCGGGTGATGCTGTGCTGGGAGTCGGCCTTGCGCTTGCCTGACTTCCCCGCCGCACCCCGGCTGGAGTCATACGGCGCGTTGCGCAGCGTGCGCAGCATGGCCGCTTCGCGCAGGAGCGCCGCCTGCTGCCTGACGTCCACGCCCGCCAGCAAGGGGTCCTCCTCGCTCCCCACGGGGCCCTCTGACGAGTGGCCCCCTGCTGTCGACGGGGCCCTAGCCTCTGCCCCACCGCCAGAGCCTCCAGGGCTGCGACTGTTTGCGGCAAGTATTGCGCCAGGGGCAGCGGCCTCGTGCGGGGCGGCGTCCGGTGCGTCATTGCCGAGCGCGCTCCTCGCTTCCGCTCTGATCGCATGGCCTTGCTGCCGCTGTGCCGGCGCAGACAGGAAGCGGGTGATGGCGCTGGTGCCAGCGGCGGGGACGGGGGTGAAGTCGGTGGCCGACAGTGCCAGACGGCTGCAGGGGAGAGCATCCTGGGGTATTTGTTGGCATGGGTCGTGAGTGGTCTGAGGTTGCTCGATGAACCGAATTGCCATGCTGGCTCGATGGACGTTTGACAGAATAGGTAGGCAGGAACACGGATTGGGCCTGCTCCGAAGAAAGGCCGATTCTTGGCGGGGAGCCAGCCAGCGCAAGTTGCCACCCAAGGCAGCTCCTCGTACCCTTCGTCAGCACCCCTTGTGCTCAGCCCCTGCCCTGGGCCCCCAATGCCTGGCCCCACCGCTCACCCACTCACCGCCATGCAGCCGGTGAGGAAATATGAGTAGGCAGCCTCAGCCAGTACCTGGGGCGAGGGGCCCTGGCCGGGTGGAAAGCGGGGCATGAGGAACACCCGGCTGTGTTCGCCATCGGTCTCGGTTCTACAGCAGCAAAAGGGTACACGGGGTTGGACGCCAGCGGAAACAAGGATTTGAAGGGAGCATGGCAGGGTCTTAAGTGCCCCTGCCCGGGTCACACACTGTCCTGCTCACCCCCCTGTCCTCACCCCCCTGTCCTCCTCACCCCCTGTCCTCCTCACCCCCTGTCCTCCTCACCCCCCTGTCCTCCTCACCCCCTGTCCTCCTCACCCCCTGTCCCCCTCACTCCAGCACCTGTAGTATATCGTCAAGTTCTTGGGCCGGCGCAGGTTCTCCTCGGCGTCGATGCCCAGGCGTGGCGCGAGTTCGTTGGCCAACACGACAAACCACGACTTGATCACATCCAGATCTGCGGGAGGGGGTGGGGTAGGAGGTTGGCCGCCGCAGAGGTCGGCAGGTTGGGCAGGGCCAGTGTCCCAGGTGAACTGGTCCACCAGGACCAGCCATCGCTGTGCAGATGCCGCACGAGCCCTTGCTGAACTCTGCGCCACAGGCATGCGGGCGGCATGAGCCCACCTTCTAGCACCCCAGTGACAGGTGCAGGGCCTGGCAACTGCTCGGCCGGAAGAATACCCCCCAAACATCCAAACCCACCCCTGGTGTTGTAAAACGTCTTTGCCGCCAGCATGGACTTTGTGACCTCCCTGGCCTTGACGGGCTCCATGGATATGCCCTGCACCTGCGCGAGGCAGGGGCATGAGGGGTTCCAGGGTGACCTGGCATGCAGCGTGCACCCCAGCAAACGACTCGGTGTCTCCCAGAGCCCTACCCTGCCCAAATGCCAGCCTGCCGCAGGCCCCATTCCACACCCTCCACTGGCCCACCGCCGCGGAGATGAAGGCTGCGCGCTCGGGTCCAAAGCGGCGCTCGAGCACCTCGGGCGCCAGCGCCAGGACGTCGCCGGCGGTGGCACAGCCCAGCGCCGCCAGCGAGTCCCCCAGCTTCCCGCCGAAGTTGCGCAGCGTAATAAGCGTAATAA